TTTATATATTGATTTATACACTACAATGCATTTATATACGGGGCCAGTATATCAGAAAAATGGATATATACATTTATATATTGATTTATACATGATTTGGCATATATATATGGGGTCAATATATTAGAAAAGTGAATTTATACATTTATATATTAATTTACACACTACTAGGCATTTATATGTAGGGTCAAGTAGATTAGAAAAAGGGATATATACATTTATATATTGATTTATACACGTTTTGGCATGTATATATGGGGTCAGTATATTAAAAAAATGTATATATACATTTATATATTGATTTATACAAGATTTGGCATTTATATATGGGGCCAGTATATTAGAAAAATGGATTTTTTCATTTATATATTGATTTATACACGATTTGGCAATTATATATGGGGCCAGTATATTAGAAAAATGGATATATACATTTATATATTGATTTATACACTACTAGGCATTTATATTTAGGCTTCGTATAATAGTTAAATGGATATATACATTTATATATTGATTTATACACTACTAGGCATTCATATATGGGGTCAGTATATTAGAAAATGGATTTTTACATTTATGCATTGATTTATACACGATTTGGCAATTATATATGGGGCCAGTATATCAGAAAAATGGATATATACATTTATATATTGATTTATACACGATTTGGCAATTATATATGGGGTCAGTATATTAGAAAAATGGAATAATACATGTATATATTGATTTATACACAATTTGGCAATTATATATGAGGCCAGTATATCAGAAAAATGGATATATAAATTCATATATTGATTTATACACTACTAGGCATTTATATATGGGGTCAGTATATTAGAAAAATGGATATATACATTTATATATTGATTTATACACTACTAGGTGTTTATATATGGGGTCAGTATAATAGAAAAATGGATGTATACATTTATATGAATAAACAATGAATCTCCAATAGTATTAGCTCTTAATATAAGCATATAGATAGAGCACACGCTAATTGAAAGTTTCTTATATTTGTTATTTGTAAGAATATTTATAAACCAATTAACCTCTAATTAAATTCATGTGGGCTGTTCTTTAATATTAAATTTTACCAATTAAATAAATATTAAATTTTACCAATTAAATAAATATTTTGCTGCAAAATTAATCTTGCTTCCATGATGAATAGGATTTAATTAGAGGTTAAGTGGTTTATAAATATTCTTATGCGTCATAATATTTGAGTTCACGAATACTTTACAGATGGCGCAAGAATTTACTTAATGACGTATGTTAATAACAAATATAAGAAACTTTCAATTGGCGTGCGCTCTATCTAAATATTTATATTAAGGGCTAATACTATTAAATATTCATTTTTTATTCATTTGGAAGCATTGGCGCCCTTGGAAGCAAAGAACTTCGAAAATGTCCTTGTTAAGGACCACCCTAATATATATATATATATATATATATATATATATATATATATACAAATATATATATATATATATATATAAATCTATTTCTATAATATACTGACCTCATATATAGATGCCAAAGTGTGTATAAATCAATATATAAATGTATAAATCCATTTTTCTAATATATAGAAATATATATATATATATATATATAAATATATATATATATATACATATATCTATTACCATACCTGTAAAGCATGATTCTGCTCCACAGCCAATCGAGCAGCCTTAAAACTAGCCTCCGTCTCAATAATCCCAGCATTCTGATATTTACTATAATGTATGATAGCCTCCTTATATCTCCTTGCAATATCTTCAGCTCCTAACACGTTCTGCGCCATCAGGCCTCCAAATTTAACTCTGCCCCCTTCGGAGACCAAAGAACTCTGTTGGTTTTGATCGTTGGCTTCGGATGTGATAGATTTTAAAGAATTGTCTTGGATAGGTTCCTTTTCTGTCAGTTTTTGGATGCTGGTCTTCTTGTTGTGCATCAGCATGTGTTTTGTGGCTTTGTTCGGAGAGCCTTCTTGAAGACTTGCATTTCTCTGGAAGTTTATGGTGTAGCGGGTGTTGGGGTATAAGAGGATTGCTGAAGCTGCACATAAACCTGAGAATCAGAGTTTGTGATGAGTTGGAGAATTATTTATTTATTTTAAATATATAGCCCACAGATTTCTTCCAAGATGACTCAAAAATACAATTATTTTACATAATGAATGACAATTAAAATATATACAAAATTACAATATATAGTTATTAACATAAAATGCTTAACATAAAATTACATATAATGCAGAATGTAACAATATTATTTATAAACAGAATAAGATAAAATAATGAGATATTTGAAAAGAAAATAAAAAGGTTAACTTGTGCAGATGGAGATTATTTGATTAGGTGAAGTGTTGTGAATAAATCTATTTCATTATTAATTAAGTTAAAGTTAGAGGACATAAGTAAAATAGGAGAATTTAAGAGAGAATTAGATTCAGGAGTAGGATAATTGAAAAATAATTGTGAACGCGTAGATAGCCTTAGAACATTAAAAGATAGTTGGTTAAGAATAAGAGGACAGTCTATAGTATTATTGCAAAGTTTAAATAAGAACATAATTGTACAGATAAATCGACGTGAGGTAAGGGAAGGAATACCAAATTCATTTAGTAAAGTGTTGTGTAAGTGTTTTATAATAAAGATATTTCAGAAATTTTCGCTGAACCTTCTCTATCGCATCAGAGTCGTTGATTTGATGAGGATACCAAATAATCAGACCATATTCTAATTTTGAACGTACAATAGAATAGTACATGCAAAGAGTGCATTGTTAGAATTGAATTGTTTACAATTTCGCAGTATCAAACCTAAAGATTTATGTGTTCTATTACAAATATCAGTTATATAATCCAGAATCAAATAAAACTCCTCAATCTAAATCTTTATTACATCTATCAATGCTGGTGTTAGAAATTTTATAATCAAAATGTATTGGAACGCGCTTATGTGAAAAACTAAGAATCTTGCACTTTGATATATTTAAATGTAATTTGTTATAGACACACCAAGAGTGGAAAGAGTCAAATTGAGACTGTAAAAATAAGCAGTCATCAATAGAATTTATTTTGAGATATAGTTTGAGATCATCTGCAAATAATAAATGTGGACAGCTAATAATATCAGATATGTCATTAATAAAAATAATAAATAGCAGTGGACCAAGAATGAATCCCTGAGGAACACCTGAACTGATATTTTCAATGTTGCTCAAGAATCCATTAAGATAGACAAACTGTTTACGATTATGAAGATAACTCTTAAAAAATAAATAAGTGAAGAATTCAGAGCAATCTTAGATAATTTAGTAAGAAGAATGTTATGATCATGATTGGAGAATGATGGTTAGTACCTTCGTAAGCTGCTCCAAGCCATAACCAGTCGTTAACAGTCTTCAAAGTATCACTAGCGTTTTGGTACAAGGTGATGCTATCGTTGATCAAACCAGCTTGAAGAGTCAAATCTGCCAAATGTTTGGTGACACGACCCATGCAACGTTTTCTGTTGTTCCTAGACTCCAAATCCAAACCTAATTAAAATATATACTTTAATATATATATATATATATATATATATATATATATATATATACTAGATAGAGTATATAGACCCGGCAGCTACATTTTTTTAATATCCTGTACTAATATTTACCGTTCAGTTTAAAATAATAATTATTGTTTCCCGATTACTATTTACATCAATATATGAGTGATGTTAAATGTAGAACTGCTTCAAATAAAATGATGATTCTCAGATTCCACAGTTAACACTTTAATTATCCCTTTAACAAGTATTAAAATATGTTCAATAAAATTGTATATTAAAAATTATGCACTGTGATTTATAGAACAAATTTATTTCCAATAGCTCAATTTATTTTAATGCCAAGGTTTATCTAATATATTGTAGATGTGGATAAATGAATGATTTTTTGTTTATTTACGACTAAAACATAGATTTTCCACATTTATAACACAAAAAATCATCATCTGCCTTTGTGATTTATGGTCATAGCATAAGATGAACGTGTTTAAAATTGAAGTTTTTTTAAATGTATAACAAATTCAGAAAGAATTTGTTAGAAAAGGTACAATATCACCTTGGATTTTTCTACCCAAAATAATTGCTTCAATAATGTTGCCTATAATTTTTATAATTTCGTACCATATTTTAACTCACTTTTAGTAACTTTAATATCTAAAGTACATTTTTCTCACTAATAATTCAATATACATTATTACTTAAGTTCATATTTGAAGTAAATTAATTTGTCAAATCCTGTTCACATGTGCTCTATTCAACCAACGATAAACAAAATTATTGCAGTAAATGGAGAGAAAAAAAAACGTGTGCCCTGGAATTTTTTTTTACTGTGCTTCAATTTGCTTGATATTTTGGAAACAGACTAATCTTAATCTTAAGTTCAGAAGTGAAAACAATTTGCACTCCGTCATCGCCCCGGCATTAATTGGATTATAACTGTTTTAATTCTGAATTTATCACAACTTGTAATAAAATATTTTAAAGGTAATTAAATGAGCTACAACTTTCTCTATTATAAATTTTACCGGAATTTCTTTTATTTTGAAACGGCGAAGGGTTAAACGGCTCTGGTTGGACAGCCGCGCACTTTTTTGAACAATCGTAACTCTATCAATATTTGTGTAACGGAAAAATAATAAAAAGCAATAATTAGTCAGAAAAAAACCTTGAATTTTCATCTATATATATTTATATGTATCTTTTATTCTTTCAGATATATAATAATGAGAAATTGGTTGTTTGGTTTTAAATGGATTTTTTTTTTCATGAAATCATGAGTTTGAAAATCATTTTTACTAAAGTTGTGGTATTTTCTAGAATCCATGAAGATCTCTTAAACCAAGTTATTTCTAGATGGAATACGATTATTTTTAATTTTAGTGAAAATAGCACTCATAAACTATTTGATTTAAATGAAAAAAACATTGGATGCGTCTTTTATTTGCATGATAGCTCACTCATTTTACACGCAGAAGTACTAATTTTAAAGCTTATTTCGAGCACTATAAAAACCCATTTTCATATCTAGCTTAAAATTGTTTCGAGAACACTATAAAACAGCGATTTATTAAGATCTTAATTTATATAATTTTGTTCATTACATGATTTTCGTTAAAATATATATTTTTAAAAAATATTTGCAAAAAACGATGAAAAATGCCAAAAAAAACAAATTTTCAGTAGCCAGCCAGTAACTTGAAAAGTAATTGCTTTTTTGAAAAACATTATTAAACATTCTCTTCTAATTAGTTCTTTCATCGATATCCGACGTTATTTTGAAAGAGATACAATTGCACCACTGAAAAGGAATGTCATACCCTCGGGAAGTGGCAAAAGAATCAAAATTATTTTCACTTTTAAACTTGAGAGAAGATGAATCTAATTCCAAAAGTTCATGCAAATTGGAGCACAGTAAAAATTTTCTGACACAAGACTTGAGCAAATATACCGTATCCAATGGCAAACATATGAATTTTTGACACAATGAAACTTCTAAATAATTTTTTGAGTAGGTAAATTATTTTTGCATTGTGATTTAGTAAAGTAAGGCAAAACACGACTGCATTAGTTAAAAAATAATAACCTGTCAAATAGAATCACATGTGACAGTCCACAACCGTCAAACGCATGTTGACTGTACTTTATTATATTATTTTAATTTTTGGCACATCTCAGCTGCTTTTCGGCAATAATAATGTAGACATTACATTTTTCTTATTCATAATCATGAATTTATTATATTTTAATATAGTCTTAGCCTATGAGTGAATGGAAATGTTTGGCAAATGACAGTCTTCATTTGTTTTTAATGTCAAACAATGCCTCAAATGCCAATCAATGATAAGCGGTTTTTTGTATTTTCCATTTATTTCTACAATCTAACTATATTTCTATGAATCAAAAAATCCTAGAAAATTCCCTTAACAAACTTCAGGAAGTTTTATGAGAATCCGAATAATAGTTTAGGAGGATTAACCTTTCATACGCCGTTACGGAAGAATTTTATATAAGATATATATAATTATATATATATATACATATATATATATATATATATATATTTATCCATACCTACCTACGAAATCTTTTTTCTCGAACGGCGCCAAAAGCAAAGAGACCTTATCAATCTTCTCCCTGGATCTCTCAAGTCGTTTGGATTCCAAAACCCAGAACAAACTATTTATGAAATCAGTGATTTGCATTTCCAAATCGATACAAGGATCTGTATCGGAATAAAATAGTGCCCTGGTTTTAAAATTACTTGGTGTCGTGAAGTCATTTTCAGGAATCGCCGAACTTGACTTTGGAGACTGGTCTGATGATGTTTCTGATGATGATGATTCGCTTTTCACGATTGTTGGTGGCGGAGGGGCAGGCTTTGGATCTAAATTTATAGTATTTCAAATTAATCTATTTTGGTCATTTCCTTACAAAGCAATATAAAACAAATATAAATTTAAATTCAAATTCAAATATGATACATATAAAGCAATCTTTCAAAAAGCATTCAGCTCAAATTATTTTCTACATGATTCTTATTAACTTCCCGTAGAGTAAGTTATTTTAATGGGCCGAAAATCGAAAATGAAAATTTTTGCATTTCTCGACGTTTTGAAGGTTTCTGAACATTTTACTGGCATACCTCAGAAACCAAATGAATGTGTTTGTGTATTTTGTATGTCCGCATTTTTTCATCCACGTTTGTCGCGCACAAATCAACCGATTTGAATAGTTTAAAAAACATTCGATCCCTATTGATAGGGAGATGTGCTGATTAGTTTTTGGCAAAGGCAGGTCCAGCCGTTACGGAGATACGGAGCAAAGAGTGCAAACAGTACAGATCGAGTTTTTGAGAGAACGGAGTATCGGATTTGAATGATCTAACTAGTGGGGCACATGGCATCGTGCCTTAAGGCAAATTGCTGGTACTTCCGGTACCAAAAAAATTTTTTTTAAAGATTAACATTTAAAAAAATTTACTCTGAAAAATTAGATTTTTGAGAAACTATAAATTTGACAAAAAATTACTTTTTTTTATAAAAAAAAACTTTTTGAAGAAAAATTTATTTTAAAATATTTTGGAAATTCTGAACTTTTTTTCAAAGCAATCGTACTGCTTTAACTGCATAGAGACGAAATATCAAAGCGCGTAAGCGTCGCTTCGCCGTCCAACGGATAAACATTAATGAGGAAACCATAGGATTGTAAACAAGATTTATTAATATTGTTAAAATCTCTATAAAATATCTGATAATTTGATGTGCATATGTCTAATGATCATTTTTGTACGCCAAATGGCATTTTTTTACTTTTTTCACTAGATCTCCGAAACCGCTAAACCTGCCTTCATAAAAATTTTAATAATTCTTCATCTTGTTAATACAAGTATAATTTTTTTTGAATTATTCAAATCGGACGCTCCGTTCTCTTAAAAACTGCGTTACCGTTTTTGGTACTTTTTGCCCCGTATCTTCTAAACGGCTTGACCTGTCTTCGCCAAAAACTAATCAGCACGTCTCCTTATCAATACGAATCGAATGTTTTTTGAATTATTCAAATCGGACGCTCCGTTATCTTAAAAACTGAGTTACCGTTTTCGGCACTTTTTGCCCCGTATCTTCGAAACGGATAGATCTGCCTTTGCCAAAAACTAATCAGCACGTCTCCTTATCAATACAAATCGAATGTTTTTTGAATTATTCAAATCGCTGCATCCGTGTTCCCGAAATCGTCGACGAAAATTTGTATCCGCACACAAACACATGTACACACATACACACACACATAAATCCATTTTTTCTAAGGTATGCCAAAATGTTCAGAAGGTTTTCAAACGTAAAAATTTTCATTTTCGATTTTTTTGCGATTACTATAACTTGGCCCTACGAGAAATTAAAAATTACCCAGGCTAAGCACAGTCTAAGCGCCACTCTGGTACAAATGTTTACCCAAGTGCGTTTAGACTGTTTATGAACTGGAGGAGCACTTTTCCAATTTTGTGAAAAGAAAACTATTGAAAAATGTGAAAATGCCGCCAAGCTAAGCACAGTATAAGTGAAAATGTCGCACAGAATTATTTGCAAATGCGTTTAGACTGTGACTATACGGGAGCACTTTTTCAATTTTGTGTAAATTAGGCAACTAAACTATTTTTTTGAAATTGAATTCGAAATGAAATGACGATTGTTAATGTTCTGGTAATAAATTGATTTATGACTTACATTTGATTTGCTCAGATATAACACGATAGCAATAATAATGAAAGTTGCAGTATAATATATTTGAAAACGTTTAAAATTTCTCGAATATTTCATTACGGTACCACTAGTTTTATCTTTTTCTTACCTTCTGATTTTTTAGCAGGTTTTTCCCCAGTGTTAAGTGTAACATCTTCTTCATTCAAATCTTGAACTAATTTTGTGATATCTTCGGTTAAAGATGTGATGTTATCTAGTTTAGATGGACCGAAAATAATGCATCTTGAATCAAATAAAGTGCTCACATATTTAACTTTTAGAGATTCGTGAACACGACATACTTCATTTAATTCTGCTTGAGTTTCATATTTTCCTACTGTTACTAAACCTAAGAGACGCCTGGAAAAAAATTAAATATTAGATTTATTTATTTATCATTTTAATATAAATTCTATCCTTTGTACTCTTATTTATTTAAATTTATGTTATTGTTTATTATTATTACCAGATGTTAAATTATTTGTAACAGTTGTAATAAATATTGTAATTAAATATATATATATATATATATATATATATTTTACTAAAGGTAAAATTGGCAGAAATTATCTATTAACCTGTGTGTTTGAAAATCGCCCCAATCGTTGTTCTGCACAGGGTGTTCCCGAATGTATCGAACCCAGATGTCACGAATTTGACCAGCAGAGTCTGAAATAAAAATGAAAGTTGACTAGTAGTGTATGGCATCGTGCATTAAGGCAAATTTTATGAGAATTTTTTTTTTTTTTTTGAATATCTTGAAACTTTGAATACTATAACAATTTAAAAAAAGAGTGCGCCTAAGCTTCACACGCGATTGAAGTAAAACTTATTTGCTACTGTGCAAAGTAGCAAATTTAAGTTAAGTAAAAATAAATACATCATATAACAATTTTGAGTAATGTTTATTAGTAATATTTTAACACCCGTGATGCACACATTTATTAGTGTCAACTCAACCATTGTACACATTTATATAACGATCAATTATAAATTTATAATAGCATTGAAAATATATATAATGTTTAAAAACAATAGTGTAATTAAAGTCATACTTCAAATATGACATGATCGGTTTGTCATTGTAATTAGCATTTAGGACTTGGACCTTCATTAGAGAAATGAAATAATTGCTGATTAATAAATTCTACCATATTTGTTAAATAATGCCTAAACAAACATTTTTTTTCGCAACTTCACTCATCATATAATAATTGAAGTTTGGAAAACTTCATGTAATTAAAATTAACATACATTCATTGACTGATGGTATATTGGATTTGTACATTATTTTATAGAAATAAATTTTAAAAACTTCGCTATTATAGAAGACAGTTTTAATGGCAGAGGTATGTAATGGCAATAAAAATTATAATTATTTATTTATAAAAAATGTACAAGAAAGAAAAGCTTCAAAGCAATTCCTTTAAGCTCAATGCTATTGTTTGTATACATATATAAAAATTTATTAATATTAATTTAATTTTCCAATAAATAAATATGAATTAGAGTAAAAAATCAATATTCGAAACTAGCTGACCAGGCAAACGTTGTTTTGCTAAGTAAGGTATATTCTAAATATTGTCTAGAGAATAAAAAAATTAATACTTTAAGTGTATAAGGATGTGTTGTTTGAATGCTATATACAATGAAGTATTATAAAAACAATAAACCCCATTAGTTTGTCTATATTTTGTCAATACAATCAAACTGGAAGCCTTTAAAGTTTTATTTTTTAATTTGAACATATTTTCAAAGATTACCGTTTATCTCCCGATAGCAAAGTCATAAGTATCTAGCTTATAGCTGGTTATACATCTTTTTCCCTCTACATTCAAATATTGTTGTTAAACAATGCTTAACTTTACTGATTTTTGACACATCGGTGGCGGACCTTTTTAACCCCGGACCTTCATATATTACTATCTATATTTCGATAAATTCTGGGAAATTATAACTGGGAAAATGTTATTCGACAAAATGTCCCTTTTATCGATACCAAATTTAGGTTCTGAATTTAAATAACATAAATAAAAAATAATATAACCAAAAAAATGTTTTATAAATACCAATGAGTATATAATTATACAAATGAGATCTTTCAGAGCACCGTGTTTGAGAAAAATATGATTCGCAAAAAGAACATTTCAAAAAAGTTGATATTTTGAGTTTCAAGTAACACTTGCGGCCCATTTAATAACGTTTTTGTGTAAAAAAAACCTACAAACAAAACTACTTACTACAATTTAATCATAATTAAATAATATTCACGTAAAACATTCTATTGAGCGTAATTGAACATTTGACATTTGACGTATTAGCCACCATCCATTATTTTATCTAAATTACGCTTCTACAAAAATGTTCAAATTAAAAATGTAAAGTTTCTACGCGATTTTGGAATAATTTCTCACCTTTCCGACAACCTACTGATTGGCACGAATTTTTCAAGACTAAGACTGGCCAAATCGGTTTAGCCGTTTTCGAGTTTTAGCGGATCATTTGATCGAGAGCTCCATTTTTATATATAAGAAGATATTGTCTCAATTTCTTTATTATATTCTAAAATGAATGTTAACGTAGTAAAAGAGCGTCCATTAATCACGTGATCAATTTTTAATAAATTTTGGATCCCTCTTCCCATGGTGGTAATACCCCTTATTAATCAGCAATTACTTTATTTCTCTAATGAAAGTTCATTTCTAAATGCTAATTACAATGACAAACCGATCATGTCATATTTGAAGTATGATTTTAATTGCGTTATTGTTTTTAAATATTATACATATTTTTAATGCTATTATAAATATATCTACATATAAATTTTTAACGCACCAACCGATTTCGACAATTTTGCATTCGTTGGAAAGGTCTCGGTATCCGCAAGGTTTATAGTTAAGAAAATTAGTTGTGCATGGCATCGGCAATTAAAAATTCGAGTAATGACATTAGTTAGAATTAATGACATTAATCAGAATTATGCTTGGTTAAGTCAACGAGCAATTCTTGCCGCAAAGAAATATGATGTACACGCACTGACTTTCACCATTCAATCAAAAATTGCTGGCGATTTGGTGACATACCAATGATTCCGACTGGTCTTCCGTTTGACTTCAAACGATTGCAATTACCAGTTCACCTTGCGTTCGCAATGACAATTAACAAGTCGCAAGGCCAATCGCTTAGTGTTTGCGGGATAAATTTCAATTAGATTATTTACAAAATCATTGTTTTTCACATGGGCAGTTATACGTTGGCTGTTCACGAGTTAGAAAACCATCCGCTTTGTTTGTGTTAACGTCAGACCAAAAAACAAAAAATGTGGTTTACCAAAGAGCACTTCAATGAAATGGATAATTTGCGGATTCACTTTCATTTACTTAGAGAAGTTCAACTAAAAAACACTTCATGTTTGTAATCGAAATAAATTCATTACTGTTGTATAATAAAATTAAATTTTCCTTTTCAAATATAAAACAAACAAAAAATTTCTTCATCTTTCTCACGAAACCATCTGGTGGCGAAACGGAGTTCGTCGGGTTTGCTAGTAAGGTTATATAAGTTTGCATTCGAATCACAATTATAGGAGACTTTATAAAAACAATTATAAGTGAGTTTGTTACTAGAATCACAGTTATTTGTAAGTTATATTATTGATCTTTATGATGTATTTATTTTGACTTAAATGCCATCTTGTACAGTAGCAAATAAGTTTTACTTCAATCGCGTGTGAACCTTACGCGCACTCTTTTTTTCGTCAAACCCTTTCCCTCAAACAATATCTTCTCTCAACCGACTTTTCTCTATCGATCCCTTATCCCTTACCTGTGATTTTGACGTTCGTCACCCTGTTGAGCCTGTCCCAGATCTTGTTGAATAGCCTCGGCTTGACTCCGCCTCCGGCGCCGGTACCTCCTAGACCCAGACCTCGCACCAGCACCAGAAGACAGGCGTGATGGTGCGCGTGCTGCGGATAATCAGGATGCGACATTGCGCACTCACCGCCACCAGCTGACAGCATGTAACTGACACTCGATCGCATTTATAGCATCTGAGGGAAAAAAGACAAGAAAATAATAATATTAGGAAATAGACCAGTTGTAAGTAGTGTTAGAAGTATCGAGGCAAAAGATCGATATTGAGTACTTTGAAAAGTATCTAATCAAAATATCGATGCCAAAAAAATATCGTGGCGAAAGTATCGATAGTACTCAATATCGAATTTTGACTACTTTTCATAAAAATCAAACATAAGTGCAACAAAGATCTAAAACTAATTAAATACCATATCACATTATTAGAATGAATTCTATTGCTTGTATCTGATGTGTTAAATCAGAATCATTTTCAATATTGTAAAATTTTAACAGTAATTTTTCAATACTACTTTCAAATTCAAAACAATATAATAGTCTGATACTATATTCAAAAAGCAATACTTTTTAAGTATTTTTAAGCACAATAACATTTTTAATATTTTTAAGTAAAATAATATTTTATAATTGTTGAATATTTTTAGCAACTTTAAAAAACCACTTTGGAAAGCAATAAACATTCAGTTTAATGACGGTCAAGATATATTATCTTCGACACTTGTAGAGAAGCATCCCTTCGGAGCGATGGGATTTAAAGTTTAAATGGTTCCGAGAAACTCAAACCCATATGTTTGCATGTTGAAATTCAAAAATTTCAAAACATGAGTATTTTGCGTTAAAAAGAATCGAAATATAATTATTTCAAATAATAATATTCATCAATTTCTATGTATTAGTATTTTGCGTAAAAAAGAATCAAAATATAGTAAACGCAAAATAATCATACTTTATTTGGTGAATATGTTTTTATAAAACATTTAAGGTATTTTAAAATACGTTTCATTTTACATAAGAATAATAAATAAATATCTTTATTTATTAGTGTGGTCATATTCATTTTGGGTTTTTGAAGGTACCCATCCATTAGGAAGTTTATTATCGAAGCAACCAGAAAATTTATTATGAATGAGCAAGAGGCAGATACAAAATAGAGATGAAACATGATGTCATGAGCAATATTTTCGAATTCGCAAGACATCGCCTATTATATGTTTCAACAAGCATTATAAAAAAATTAACAGTACAAAAGAATCATTAGCACTTGGCTTGAAGATTTTTATAAAGCCTCGTAGTAAAATGATAAAAATTAATAGTTCAGGCGACTAAAATGATGTCCACAGTTCTGGCGGAGAGCGGAGCAACCAGATTTTACCTGAATATTTTGCCAATTTTATGAGATCATAGTCATAAAATGACTCGAAACGATACCTTTTTTCGTAAAATACAAAAATATATTTTCAAAATTCTCATAAGTTCTGATCGCTGTTAAAAATTATATAAAAAAAAAAAAAAAAAAAAAAATTTTAAAATCACGTAGGTAAAAATATGTAGGTGAAATTTTATATTTATTTGTGCATAATATTTAATATTTATTTATATTTGAAATTATTATAAATCCATGCGTTTCAGATAACATTCTTGCTTTTATTCGGTTGATTATACAGTCAAGAATAATACTTTATCTAAGTAAACCATTTGAAATAGTTCAAGAATAAAAATAATAATAATAATAAACTAATCTAAAATTACTTGAAAAGTGCACTATTGCAAAATATATATTCAGATATTACAAGTAACCATACAAATAAGCATGAATAATATTTATTCTAAGAACTATAAATAATGAACTATTTATTTGTACGTTTCGACACAGTGTGTCACCATTCAGTAATTTTTTTTAAATATTTATACAGTATAACACCAAGAAAAACAATCACAAAAATTGAAACAAACATTATTGAAAAATAAAACATAATAATTTTTTTTTTACTTAATTTATTATGTTTTATTTTTCAATAATGTTAGTTCCAATTTTTGTGATTATTTTTCCTGGTGTTTATACTGTATAAATATTTAAAAAAACTACTGAATGATGACACACGGGCCGTGTCGAACGTATAAATAATAGTCATTATTTATTTTTTTTTTATTTCAACGATTGGCTGCAAATATTAACATTCAAGAAATATGTCTCAACGTCGAATAAAAAATCTAAATCTTATATTAAATGTATGTCAATAATGCCTTCAATAATGCAGTAATTCCTTTTGTAAAAGCTAACATTTCATTTAATGGATTAATTCTGAATCCAGGTATATTCGAACCAAAATCCCCAACGAATTTAATCTGATTTTCCAAACCCGAAATTCTATAAATTAACCGTTAACACCTTAGATCGCAAAATCCATTTCTTGCGCTGATTTCAATGATTATAAGAAAAATATAAATTTTTTTTTTCTTTAATTAATTACCAAATTTCTTTATATATTATAAATAAAATCTTAAAAATGAATATAGTAAGAACGGCAATGCGATGTGATCTATTAAAAACTTTTTATTACTACAAAAAAATGATTATACTGGGAAAATGCATACATAAAGTTTTTACACATTTTATTCATATGAATAAAAATTGATTTTTAATTCGTGTTTTTTTTTCAAAAATAAATATAATATTGATTTTGTTTCAAAAGTTGTCCGTTTTTAATTGCACCTCAAAAAATATGAGTCATTCATAATAAGTTTAATATGATTTTTATATAAAAAATAAATGTTTAAATAAAATGAAAACGATCTAAAATTTGCAACAAAAGTCGATTTTATCTCATTTCACGTTCTAAATATACATACTTTTTTCTCTAATGTTCAAGAAATATGAATGAAATTTTGTTCGATCGCCCGAGACACCGAAAATTTTTACAACTGGACATTTATTGGTCATTTGGTCATAAATTGCTCGGTCGCCTGGTTGCCTAGTGGATGGGTAGCATCATGCTGAGACTGATGACACTGAGGAATCGTTTTTGGACAATTCTTTGAACAGTTACGACCACCTAGAGAGACACTATTGTATTGCATTTGCAATGAGTGGTGTCCATAGTTGGTCGATGAGTGGTGTTCATAGATTACGCTGTCGATTCTTTTTGAGTACTATCGACGAAAAGATCGATATTGGAAAGAGATCGAGCTAAAAAATCGATAGCAAAAGTACTCACTACTATCGACCGCAAAGTATCGATATTTACTCAGTACTCGATATTTTGTTCTAACATTAGGGGGCGTCCATTAATCACGTGAGCTAGTTTTTAAGGATTTTTAAGACCCCCCCCTCCCCCTTGGTGATACGTGGTGATATTCAAAATTACCCCCCCTCCCCCAACAAACATCACGTGTATTTTTAGTTACGTGAAAAAACAAAATTACTTGATTCTTCTTTCGAAAATGTTTGAATGTTTTTAAAAAAATCAGTTAAAAAATAAATACACGTGATATCTTACCATACCCCCCCTCCCCAACGTGATATTTCGTGATTTTGTCTAACCCCCCCTCCCCCTAAAAACCTCACGTGATTAATGGACGCCCCCTTAGTTGTAAGAGGTGCTTTGTTTTGAAGGAAGTTGGATGAACTTCCCAGATATGTGTAAATAATCGACTTAATCAACAAATAATAAATTAATTTATGAGTGATTAAAAGTATCCCAGCTGATAGCATGTAACTAACACTCGATCGCATTTATAGCATCTGAGGGGAAAAAGACAAGAAATTAATAATATTAGGAAAATCCCAGTTATAAGTGGTGCTTAGCACAAATAATTGTGTTAATAGATAAAAATTGAGATTTAGGAACCCATTCTGCCGCATAGCCGAAAAATGTTATCGCAAGGCCATATTACACTCCAACTTCCATACATTATGCTACTGAATCATACTGAATACTAGAGGGTCGATTTGTATGGGTCAAAAGAAGTCGCTTAGGAACACATGATTTTCGGATACTAGAGATCAGAATAAGAAAATTATAAGGGTTGAAATTTGAAAAATTCCATTTTGACCCATTTAGAGTGTTCCAATCGCGTCCAAATGTATGACCAACCCCCGCTGGAGTAAAGATATGCTGGATGTATTATTTTTAATATATATTTAATTAGATGTTTATGCTAGCTAACTTTGAAAGGCCAATCCACCCATGCCCGTGGTTCACGCCCTAGGACCCCCCCCTCTGAGAGTTTATTCAACATTTAACCCCTATTTTTGGGTAAATGCACAGAAAATCAGAAATCATTTTAGAGGTATGGTTTCTTCAGCAAAGTATCTTATTTTGACCATATATGCTTAACCATATGTGCTTAAGTCACCTATAAATCGGCCCGTCCTACTGATTCATGTATTTACTGCTGTGCAACTGCAACGTCACTCGTATGTTATGAAGCAGAATCAGAAAAGCTCTGTTATCTAACATCACTTTTTTGACATTTGTGCGGTTTCAGGGTTAGATTTTCTATCTGACAACCTGAGAGAAACGCCTGACTGCACAGCAACCATATGGCTTTTGTATGGCAATATTTAGTATAGTAATATTAGTAAGTTCTTCATAACATGGTCTTGCCATAACATTTTTAAGTTCACGTAGGGCAAGTTATAGATAGTAATCGCAAAAAAATCGAAAATGAAAATTTTTATATACATATATTTACGTTTCAAATGTTTCTGAATATTTTGGCATACTTTAGAAAAAATGGATGTATGTGTGTGTGTGTGTGTATGTGTGTGTGTGTTCGGATACAAATTTTCGTCGACGATTTCGGGAATACCGATCAACCGATTTGAATAATGCAAAAAACATTTCGTATCAAACGATTCGTATTGATAAGGAGACGTGCTAATTAGTTTTTGGCATAGGCAGGTCTTGCCGTTACGAATATACGGGGCAAAAAGTGCCAAAAATGGTAGCACGGTTTTTAAGAGAACGGAGCGTCCGATTTTAATAATTCAAAAAACATTTTACTTGTATTAACAAGATGAAGAACTTATCAAATTTTCATGAAGGCAAGTCTAGCGGTTTCGGAGATCTAGTAAAAAAGTAAAAAAATGCCATCTGGCGGTCAAAAATGATATTTTAACAATAAGTATAAATTTTGTCTACATTCCTATCGGTTCCGTACTAATGTTTACGCGTTATGACGACGCGCT